CCCCCCCCCCCATGCATGTCCTCGACTGGGAAACAAACCCGAAACCCTTACGTGTGCAGGCCAGTGCTCCAGCTACTGAGCCACATGGGCCAGGGCTGTATTGTAACTTTTTTTGGTTAGTCTGTTTTGTCTGGTATTGGTTATAGGAGGTTTGCAAACTTTAATAGTTAATATATTAGAGCCAGAGAGAGATCAAGATCAAGATCAAGTGGTTGCTTCCCACCTGCACCCTGACTGGGAATTGACCCCAACATCTTTCCGTGTAGAGTTGATGCTCCAACCAACTGAGCCACACCATGGCTAATGGTAGAGTGCTTCTAAGATCTGGAAATTGGAGTCACATACAGTTCTATAGTATGTGACTCATGGTTTCTTTTTCTTTTAAAAAAAAACCATGCCCAGCCCGGTGTGACTCAGCGGTTGAGCATCGACCTAGGATCCAGGAGATCGGGGTTCGATTTCCGGTCAGGGCACATGCCCGGGTTGCGGGCTAGGCAGCCGATCAGTGACTCTCTCATCATTGATGTTTCTCTCTCTCTCTCCCTCCTTTCCTCTCTCTGAAATCAATAAAGATATATTTGAAAAAAAATAAAAATTAAAAAAATTAAAAAAAAACAAAGAAAACCCCCAGCCAAGCCCTAGCAGGTTTGGCTCAGTGGTTAGAGCATCGGCCTGAGGACTAAAGGGTCCTGGGTCGATTCCAGCCAAGGGCATGTACTTTGGTTGCAGGCTCGATCCCTGGCCCCAGTTGGGGCAGGTACGGGAGGCAACCAATCGATGTGTTTGTGTCTCTTTCACATCGATGTTTCTTCTCCCCCAATCTCTCTCTCTCCAACATACTCTGAAAAGCAGTGGAAAAAATATCCTCGGGTGAGGATTAAAAACAAAACCAACTAATACACAGTAAAAAATCTGAATTTCTTGAGGCTGAAAATGACATATTGAGGTATGAAATTGACATATTTTGCCTTTGCTCCATAACTTGAGAGAGTCATAAATGCTACTTGTTTCTTAGAATCTTAGACGACTACAGAGGCAAAAGCAGGTTTACAGTTGTGAGTACTCCAAGCACAGAGTTTATTCTTATTTATTAATTATTGTATTTTCCATATGAACAACTGTAAAACTATTTTTGCCCCATCTGTATTAGGTTCTGAATTTTTACCATTCCTCCTGAACCTTTATTTTTAGTTTGAAACTTGTATTTAGGAGTGTTGTGTAGCTGAAGTGTTAGTAGCTATCTCTAACTTCTCAGGTGTTAGGGAGTTGTGGATGATTTTTTAAAAAGGATAATAAGGAAGAGCTTATTTTAATGACAGTGGGCACTTATTACTAGTTTTTGAAACAATATCTCATTTTGGGGAAAATATTTTTCTACTTGTGAGTATATTATTAGTTCCTTGTGACTTATTTGTTAGGTATTAGATACAATTATTTTTGTATAAAATTTTCATTCAAGATTATGTAAAATTATTAGTTTTAGTGACTTTAAGGATTATAAGCAGGTAGTTTGTAGTTATCTTTATTTTTAAAGTGATTGTATTACCTAACAGAAAGTTTTGTTGACTACTTCTATGAATTTTAAGTCCTGCTGTCATGAATAAAAGTGCAGGAGTTTACACTTATTGTTTTCGTTTTTTCAGTTCCCTTTGTATAGTTAACAAAAAATGAAAATAAATGGACCATTTATATTTTTAGGCCCGAATAGCATTTTTGCAAGGAGAAAGAAAAGGTCAAGAAAACTTGAAGAAGGATTTAGTAAGAAGAATAAAGATGTTAGAGTATGCATTAAAACAAGAAAGGTATGTGTGTCTCGTTTTATCATATGAATAAATTAGAACATTATTATTCTCTTTTATATCATTGTACAAGGTATTTGAAAGTTCTTTGAAAGATACAAAACCTTTCCTAAAATACAAGATGATATTTTGATTTGATTGTTGTATGAGAAAAGAAAAAGAGGTTGAAATCTTTAAATTGAAATATCTTTTGTTATAGAATCTAAGTTGTGGAATTTTCTTTTTTTACTTGGGTATATATGTTAGTTGGGTAATTTATCTTTTTTTTTTTTTTATAGCAATACATTTTTTTTCTCCAGCTTCCTTTGCAAGTAAAGTGTGAAAGAAACACATTCATATCATGTTTTATTTGTTATTGGAGAAACCTACCAGTAATTACTTAACTTTGTAGAAAAGGAAAAAAAAAATTTCAACAACTTATTATTAAATTTTCAGGGCAAAATATCACAAATTAAAATATGGCACAGAACTGAACCAAGGTGATTTGAAAATGCCAACCTTTGAATCAGGTAAATTCTATTATTCTGTCTGCCCCCCCTCCCCAAGAATAGTTGGTTTAAGCTATTTTTATTTAACAAACATGTTCTCTTTCCCCCTATTTTCCTTTGAAAGAATTGGTTGATCAAATGATTGACTCTTGTACTACTGTCTAAAATTTGGGGAAAATAATAAGTGAATAAAAGTAAGTAGTTTCGTCTACATCTCAGTCTTAAGGTTATTTGTTCTATTTTCATTGTATTGAAACCTGTGTAAAATTGTGAGTACATTTTTGGTAGTAATTAGAGGTGGATGGTAATGAAGTAATAATAACTCTTTCTCTACCTGTAGGCCATTCTTGTCCCATCCTATATAAGCTTAATTTTTTATTATTAAAAACTTTTTGTCTGGAGAAGCTGTGATTAACTCAGTTTAGTTGTTAAAAATTGGAAATTTGATTTAATTTGGAAACTGCAGAGGCAGCCAAATAAGGATAAGAGAAAGAAAAAATTATCTCCTTGCTCTAAACATATAGTGAATAGTGAGTCTGAAAGTAGTATCTGATGGATAGTTACGCAGGGAAGGGGTCTGGATATAGGAAATAGCTAATTTTAGGGTTTCATATGATTACAAATGGAGTAGTCTAAAGTCTAATAAGGTATCTTTTGATTTATATGATACAATATTTGAAATATTACTAGCAATATCTCAGGTATATTTAGAACCCATTTACATATACATTTTGATGGCACAAATTGAATTGTATGCTGTTGTTAGATGTTAGTTACTAAGACAAGAAAAAGATGTCTTTTCAGATATGTAATTTTTCTTCTCCTATAGTAAAACTTATGTATGGATTTTTTTTTAGTTAGGTATTACAGTAAATTTTACAAATTTAGTTAATTGGTTTTTAGTTTGATGTTAAATACTCAGAACTAGGCAGAAACACCTCACACAAATAACCTGCAGTTGATTTATTTTTAGGTCTTCTCCATTTTCTAATATGGCTAGAGTATTCAGAAAATCAGTCATTGCTTCCTAGAACTCAAGGGCTGTCCCCAACTTGGTCTGCATAAATATGAGGAAGGAGACTTGTTGCAGCCACATTGTTCCTAGAACCAGAGTCAGAGTGGGCTAGCAGGTCTCAGTGCAACAGTTTGTATAAAGCAGAATCATTTAGCAGATAAATCTCTCTGGCCCACATCTGAAGTCAGATAAAAGATTTGTTTTTAAACTTGTTTTAAACTTAACTGTTGAAACTTCCTCAAATTGAGGAATAAAATAACATTCAAGCATTTTATTTATAGAAGACACAATAGTAATAAAATAGATTGTTTTTACAGAGGTAGGAAACTATTCAGGATGTTTAGTGGGAAAACAAACAAAAGGATCGTCAGAAACACCATGCAAACAAAGTGGGATAAAATCATTTACATCAAAGTATAGATAGGGATAAACATTAAGTGAATCACTATTGCCTTTCATATGCCAAAATAAAGCAAAATGTAAAAAAGAGAAAATGTGCAAAATACTGATTTGGCAGAAGTACAAGATACGCATGTTTTTATACCCATCTCAATAATACCAAGTACCCAAATATGTAAAGAGCTTTTTCTTTACATTTAGATTTTAAAAACCTGTAACAATAGAAAAATGGGCAAAAGATGTGAAAAGGCACCTGATAAAGTAGTATTTACAAATGACCAAGAAGCATATGAAATGATGCTCAATTTTATCAGTTACTGAAGAAATATAGCTTAAAGCCAGAGTATAATATAGTTAATACCTACCAGAATGCCTAATGAAAAAGAGAAAAAGTCAAGTGTTGATAAGGATGTGGAACAAGAACTTGTAGACCTACTGATGTTGGGATTATAAATTGATTTGTTACTGATGTTACTAAAGGGAACATAGCATGCCCTGTGACCCAGTAATTCGATTCCTAGGTGTTCCACTCCCTAAAATGCATACCTATGTTTATCATAAGGCTTGTATAAAAATGTTTATATTTTATTTTTAGTAGCAAAAAACTAGGAACAACTTGAATATTCTTCAGCATTAGAATGCATAAATATATTGTCATATTTTAGCATAGCAGAATGCAACAAGTTAACAAACTATAAAGCTGACAAACATGGTTGATTCACATAAAATTGAANTATTTAGCAACAAGTTAACAAACTATAAAGCTGACAAACATGGTTGATTCACATAAAATTGAAAATTGATATAATTGATTTAATGTTATTAAATTTAAAAATTAATCTAGTTTTTAGAATTAGGATAGTGTTGATGCTCTTCTGGGAGTATGTATTGACTGGAAAAGGACACAAGGAAAGCTTTCGGGATGCTGACAATGTTTTGTTCATTTAGGTACTGGTTACATGGTTGTGTTCAGAAATTCATTGAGCCTGTACGCTTACCATGTACTTCAGAAATATCCTTAGCAGCATTATTTATAATAGTGAATAATGGAAACTAACTTCAGCATTAGGGGGGATTAGTTAAATTAAATAGGTACATACTTTCTATGGAATACTTAGGTAATCCTTTTATATGATGTTAATCCATATTTATTGCCATAGAGAGAATGTTCAAGATACATTAAATGTTAAAGGCAGCTTATAATACAGTATACGTATTGCCCATTTTTTTTAAGGAGGGGAGAAGCTTCTGTGTGTATTTTCATATGGAAAATATGGAATGATAAAGTCTTAAGTATTAACTTTTGTGATAGGATTTGGGGCAATTGTATTTTTTTAATGTATTTTTTTCTGCTATGATTGTGTTATATGCAGTTTAAAAATAACCAAAATGATATAAATTAAAAAATTAAGAATTTAAAAATAGGGGGACTGTTAGAATGAAAAAAATTATTTCTAGAAATTGTAGAAATTCCTTTGTGCAGGGGAAGAATGAGAAGATATTAATAATGGGATTGTTAGGATTAGAGCAGTAATACCTGTAGAGAGTATTTGAATTACTACCAATAAGTATTTGTTCACATGACTCCAAGGAGCCTAGGAGCCTAACAACTGTGATTCATTCTAAGCTCTCAATGTTCATTGAGGGCTGATATTTAATGGCCCTCTCTGCTTTATCTTTATTTCTATAATGGAAGTTTATGGGAAAATAGTACCAATAAGTAGTTTTGAATTTCAGTTTAAGGATACTTATTCAGAGCTTAACTGACCTGAAATTATACTATTTATTAAACTTTTAAAATATATATACTTTGTTACTTGAGAATAAAAAATGACTTTTTACCTGTAGTACAACTTTTAGTTCTAAAAATGAAATTGACTATATAAAGTCTCTAGTATAGACTGATACCGACTCAAAATTAAGTTACTATATATACCTAATTTCTTGCCTGTGTTGCTTTTGAATAGCTACTGTAAATATTAAATATAGCTTTTTAATTTCAAAAGTATTCAACTCAGAATTCTGATAGTTAGAAAAGTAATTACAATAATAACATATTTCAAAGCCTGGGCCTTTGGTTTTTGAACTATAAATTATGTTATAGTTAATGTACATGTGGCTTTTCCTAATTTTAAAACAAGAAAGGTAGTACCTAAGCGTTTGGGTTATTGGGGTAAACACATTTGAAATGAGTGTGATTTACAGCCAGTACTCAATAAAAATTAATTTTCTTCTGTTCTTTATAAAATATTTAGGTGTATTTTTGTGGGAATTTGCCCCTTAGAGAACTTTGGCAGTATTTTCAATAGTTTGAAATAATGTGCGTGAAACTTGTCTTTTTGTTGTTGTTGTTCATTTATAGAAGAAACCAAAGACACAGAAGCTCCCACAGCGCCTCAGAATAGCCAGTTAACGTGGAAGCAAGGCAGACAACTGTTAAGACAGTGAGTAATGGCTCATTTTCAGTTTTAAGGATCTAGGTATGAAGTGCCTATATTCATTCACTTTTCAAGTGAAAAATTAATGATAGTGGGACAATGCATATAGTTTTCCTGTTGCTTTTGAAATGCTTTGTTAGATGCTTGGATCTTTTTAAAGTTTATTTCCTCTGAGTGTTCTCAGGATGATGCTGTTTTTTCATTTGTGGGGTAGAATGTGATAAAAACTGGATGCCTTGAAGGCCAGAACAAAAACAGTATAGAACTCATACTTGTAGACACTCCCATTTCTCATCACTGCAAAATTCACATATTTGGTTTTGAGTGAGACTGGTTTAGAGAAAGAATTTAACTGGTATCTGAAACTTCAGAAGTGATTTACCAAGTCCTACCTTTACTTGAATTTTTGAGGAACCTTTTTGACCTTTGAATTCTTTGTTGTATTAGAAGTACTTCTGTGGCAAATCTTACTATCTTTTATCTATTTATTCTTCTCCTTTATGTTTTGAAACTTTGGTACTTGTGTACTCCCAATATCTTGGGTAACTTACTATTGTTCAACCTTCTCAACTCTAGACATTTTTACCTATACTTAAGTAACCCAGTGAACTGTGCTCAGACCCCTGACCTTATTACCTAGAACTACCCTACCTCTGGAGTAGTCCATGATCCAACAGTTATCTTAAATTCCACTTCTCACTTTAATTCCCATGTTTTTGCCTTCTGACTTTACCTTGATCTTTAGACCTTGACTACTTTATTTTCCTCCTTAGCTCCTCTCTCCCTGTGTTTGGTTTTATTTTATTTTCGTCTGCTTGTTTTTTGTTTTCATTTCCCTAAGCCCAACTTAGACATCATTATCCATCACCCTTTTGCTAGAACCCTTTGATTTTTTGCTGCCCACTGCTTACCCCTCTCCCAGCAGTCAAATTACTATACCTACTTGCAACATCCCCAGCCCTGGTTCAGTCTGTCGTGCTTTTACTTCTAAGTAATTCTTGAAGAGCCCTGGTCAGGTGGTTCAGTAGGTTGGCACATCTTCCCATACACCAAAAGATTTGTGGGTTTGATTCCCGGTCAGGGCACCTACCTAGGTTTCATGTTCCATCCCCAGTCAGAGCATGTATGGGAGGCAACCAGTCGGTGTTCCTCTCTTACATCGATGCTTCTCTTTCTCTCTCCCTTCCTGTCTCTAAAATCAATAAACATATTCTCAGGTGAGCATTAAAATAAATAAGAAAAGTAACTAAGTGAGCAAATAGAATAATTCTTGGAGAAAAATTACAAAATCATATGAATGTCCTTACATATTCATGGTTTCCTGTCCAAACATTGCAAAGAGCCTTTCTCCATAATCCTGGTTACCTCCTCCCATCGCCCTCAGCGGATATTCTAAACTTTTGCTACATTTGGCCCATTTTCCCTTACTGTCATTAGAGGACCTCAGGCTCTGCTTTGCTGAAAATAGGAAGGCTTTCAGGTGAGATCTCCCTTAATTTTTTGCTTTCCTTTCTGTAAATGTATTTAAACCTCTGAGCCACGCTGGCTGGGCATATCATCTATATTTTTGCCATAATCTGGTCCCTTTCTTCTTTTTCAATGTCATCCTGGAACCTGGATTAAGTACTCGGTTTAGATATATAGAAAGTTTGAAGACCACGGGATAATAGAAATGCAGTGAGATGTTAGATCCTAGAAGAAGTGACCCGCCCATCTACCTCTGGCTAAGAACCCAAGTTTAAAACTAGCATGTCACTATTCTGAGATTTAGTTCTACTCATTCCTTACCACTTTCTAGACTTTATATAAATAACATCAACTTCTCAAGGCCTCTTAAGGCTCTAGGGCTTTTTAGGATTCAATAATTGGCCCTTGATTAGTGTTGGCTGCACTATTGGCTTTTTAATTTTGGTTTGTAATTGGCCTTATTCTCTTAAAACTGGAATTAGTCTATAGAGAAGACAGTTATTGAGGCAAAGGAAAAGTATGTTTTATCGGATTATGGGTTTTTCTAAAATCCTTTGTAGTTTTTAGTTAATAAGTTTGCTGGTGTTAACAATATGTGGGGTTTAATATTTTTAATTTTCTCTTATAGATATCTTCAGGAAGTAGGTTACACAGATACAATATTAGATGTACGGTCTCAGCGGGTAAGGTCATTACTTGGACTGTCCAATTCAGAACCAAATGGATCAGTAGAAACAAAGAATTTAGAACAGATCCTGAATGGAGGTGAATCTCCTAAGCAAAAAGGACAAGAAATCAAAAGGTATGATCTATACTTGTAGGTTAACATTGCTTATATAATGGGTATTATAAATCTTTTTAGCTTTTTGTTACTACTGTTAACAATTTTTAAAGCAGATACAGTTCAAATTTAAAGACTTTTCTCCCCTAAATGGTACCATGGGCAAATTTTCCATTTAGGTGCTTTTTAATATGGTAGTAGTTCTGAAATAGGTGTAAAATTAAAATTTAAGGGTGATGTCATGTAGTTCAGAGTTATTTTAACATCCTGATTTTTTAAATTTTTGCTAGAGTATTTTCAATAAATTATAATGCTACTCTCTAACCAGGATAGCAATGGTTAGACTATAGTGTGAAAGGAACAAGGCTTTTCATTCTGTTTGGGTTCAGAAAGCTACCAAATACTCGTTTTCTTTTAATATCTCTATTGAGATATAACTCATATACCATAAATTTTATTTAAAGTATATAGTTTAATGGTTTTGGGGATATTCTGAGTTGTTAGCTATCACCACAGCCTATAAGTTTTGAAAATTTTCATCACTCTAAAAAGAAAACCCATACTCATTAGCTATCACTACCCCTACTCTCCTATATTTTTCTTACCCCTACACCTCCCCTAGGCAACTTTACTAATCTACTTTCAGTCTCTAAAGATTTGCCTATTCTGGACATTTCATATAAATGGTTATTTTGTGAGTGGTTTCTTTCATTTAGCATGATATTTTTAAGGGTCATTCATGTTATAGCATGTTAGTAATTTATTTCTTTTTATTGCCAAATAATATTCTGTATTGTGAGTATACTATATTTTGTTCATTTATTCATTGTCCAGTTTGGCATTTTGATTGGTTCTACATTTTAGAATAATGCTACTTTGAACATTGGTGTACAAGCATGGACATGTTTTCAGTTGTCTTGGATATATACTTAGGAGTGGAATTGCTGAATCATATGGTAATTCTGATTACCTTTTTGAGGAATTTCCAGATGCTTTTTCCAAGTGGCTGAATTATTTCACATTCTCACAAGAAGTTTATGAGTTCTGATTTCTCTACATTCTTGTCAGTACTTGTTTACTGTCTACTGGTTATACTTTTGGTTAATACAGACTTGGTAAATGCAAGGAGTCAAGCAGTTGGAACTTTATTTATTTATTTATTACCATTAGATATTACATTGAATAACATAGGTTATAAGGACAAAGAAAAGAAAAAGAGAATGGGGGAGAAAATCAAATGAGTTCATTTAGAGCTTAAGAAATTAATATGTACAATTTATAAACTAGCATTATTTCATATCTAAGGTATATTTCCTGATGTACAATTATTTAAAACATGTTCTATAACTTTCAAGTTAACATAAGCCTTTTGTGTAGGCTTTTTATTTCTGAGAAATAAGATCTCTAATAAAAGCAATTTAGCATCTAATAGAGCCCTTACTTTCTTTACTCTGGGTTTCAGGAAGCAGAGTGTTTTTGTAGTATAAGAGGAAAAGAAAAAGTATTATGAATTTTTAACTAAAGTTACTAGCTAACCAAGCTAGTAGTTCATAGGACTTATATTTTAGAGTAATGCAATTTACTGTACTATATATGAATATGAATTAAAGATACACAACACACTTTATCTTATAAAGCTTCTTGCCTTTGCAAGATTAGGACTTTAATAAGCTTTTTTTTCTATTGTGGCAAAAAACACATAACATGAGATCTGTCCTATTAACAAATTTTTCACGTGTATAGTGCAGTATTGTTAACTATAAGTACAAGGTAGTAGAGCACATCTCTAGAACTTTATCTTGAATGAGTAAGACATTATACCCATTGAATGGCAACTCCCTATTTCCTTCACTGTTCAACTTTCTGTTTCTATGAGTGACTACTTTCAATACCTCATTAAGTATAATTATGCAGTATTTGTCCTTATGTGACTGACTTGCTTATTTCACTTAGCATAATGTCCTGAAGGTTCATCAGTGTGGTAGCATATGACAAGATTTTTATAGTTTTTTATGGCTAATTAATGTTCTTCTGTATGTGTGTGTGTATATGTATGTGTATACACACATACACACATTACATTTTCTTCATTCAGCCACAGACATTTAGATAATAGTTGTTTTTAATTAAGGTGATTTCCTTTTTAATGAATATACTTATATATTCTGAGTCTGCACTGGTAGAGGTGTGTATGACTCAGTTATATCAGGGCCTTTGAAAACCCCAAGAAATAAGAAGTGATCTGACACTTTCATGGAGATTTCAGCAAAAGATATTTATCTCATTTTTATTTATAATAGTAAAAAAAAATTAGAAGCAGTTCAACGGTAGAGGAGGAATGGTAAATTTTAAGTCATATTTTTAGAGGCAGTATGCATGACGGCTTAGAATGTGAATTCTGAAGACAGGCAGACTGAGTTTGAATTCTGACTTCACCATTTACTAGCTGTGACTTTGAGCAAGGTGCTTTACCTTTGCTTCAGTTTCCTCATTTGTGAAAGGGTGATGATAGGGTTGATGTGAGGAAGAAATGAATTAATGTGTCAGCATGTAGAACAATGTCTGGCACATAGTAATTGTTTGCTATGATTGAATATTGTGTATCCATTTGAAAGGTAGCCCCACAAAGAGTAATGTTTACTAAAGCGATTTTCAATCTTTTTTATCTCATGGCGCACATAAACTAATTACTAAAATTCTCTGGAACACCAAAAAATATATTTTTGCCAGTCTGAGAAAAAAATAGGTATAATTTTGATTCATTCAACCAAACAGCTGTTGTGTTGGCTGTTGTTATTTCTTTATTTCACAATCTAAGGGAAAAGAGGTCAGTGCCCCTGACTAAATAGTCAGGTATTGCATGTTTTAAAAATTCTTGTGGCACAGTGGTTAAAAATTGCTGGTTTACTAGATTCTGGTGAGTAAATGTCACTTGTATTTTTTGGTTTATTGTAGGGGAATGTTGTGGGTGCATAGTGTATCATATCACAAAGTATTCACTTTATGAGATTCCTTGGGGGGAGAGTTGTCTTAGATTTTGTAACTGGGAAAAACCTGTTTTGCTTTTTAGTCATTGATCTGATTTACCTATAAAGCTCTAGTAGTTTCTCTCCTTTCTCTTTTTATTCATTTTGGAATCTTGCCAAATTTGTGGGGTCCCCTTTCCCTCTGTCATGCCCCTGCCTTAGAAAATGTACTCTCTTTTAGCCTTTTATTAAACTTAGCAACCTTACCCTTGATTTCATTTTATTTTTCCTTCATCTGGATATATTAATTTTTTATTTCTGTTTATTGCTTTTTTGGAATGACAGAGGGGAGTAAATAAATAGTTAACCAAAAAAATTATAAAAATATAATGTACCATATACGGAGACTTTACTTAAGCATGGTAGATTAAAGGCACAGTTTACTTATGTGGCTTTTGGAACCTCAGCTAAAATGACAGTAAAAGGCTTTTTAAGATGCATTGACACATGACAAAAAATTGAATATATAGAAAGAATGAAGGTACTGTACATTAGATAGGGAGAATTTAATAGTTTTTGAAGCTGGAAAGAAAATGGAGGAATGTGAACTGAGCTTAAATCTAAATGCAGTTAGGAGCAATAGGAAGAAGAAAAGGAGCAAGTCAGTTCAGATCCCAAAATGCTAGAAAAGCTCCAGAGGCTAAGGAATTAGACATCTCAGGTATATCTGGGGTCTTTAAACCAAAGAGGGCTATGAGTAGAAAATTGGTCTAAGATGCAATTAGAATCTCAGATCACTCTTTTATCCTGTGCAGCCATTTGAACACCCTTCCCTAATCCCAAAAAATGGTGGTATATTTTCTGGTGAAGTTGAACCAGTGATTTCTGATTTCTTAAGAAATCAAGCAAGTCTAGGGGCCAGTTACTGTACTGAAAACAGGATTATATGAAAATCTCCAACTGATCTGGGAGATCCCCCGTTTTCTTCTGTTATTTGACATCTGATGTGTTGGCAGATGGTCTTACATCTGTTCCAGACAGGGGGATACTGAAATTGATCAGATTAATAGAAGAGACCTACTGAGACTGACAATTTCTGTCTGCCAGTGAAATGGTTAGGCCTCTGTCGTGGAAAAGTAAAGCCAGCTGCTTGACAAGCCTTATTCATGTACACAACATGTCTGTTATCTTTTTAGTGCCTCACTCTTAAATGTGAACACTTAATGAAAGACTTGAATATGAAAATTCGTAATCAGAGGAGCCAAAAAAAAAAAAAGGAACTCAGAGAAAAGAGGGAGCAGAAGACTTTCGAAACTGTAATTAATCTTTGAGAGGACTAAGTGAAGATAAGATGATACATCTACAAAGTAAATAGGATGTTTTTGTTGTTACTTCTCGCCCGAGGATGTTTTTCCATTGATTTTACATAGAGTAGGAAGGGCGAGAGAGAGAGAGAAGCATCAATTGGTTACCCCCCAGGTGTGCCCCAAAGAAACAGGCTGGGATCAGGCCCAGGATTAAACCTGTAACCCGGGTATGTGCCCTTGACCAGGAATTGAACCTGTGGACTCTTTGGTGCACTGGCTGACTCTCCAGCCATTGAGCCGCAGCTTATTTTAAAAGTCAGAGATCAAAAAAGAGCTAATAGAGACTAAAAAGTGTGATAGAAATAATTTATTTGTAAAACTTGGAAGATAAGGTTGAGGGACTTTCCCAGAAAAGGGAAAAGAGGATGTAGGACTGAAAAGCTAGGAAAATTCAAAGATCAGTGCAGGAGAGCCAGCATCTGACTAGGAGTTTCAGAAGGGAAGAAAGGTAAAATGGTATTTACAAGATTGCTAAGGTAGTAATAAAAGAAAAATTTCTAGAATATTTACAGACTGTCTTTCCAAGGATTTTTTTTTTTTTTCTGGATTGAAAGGATTCCCCCCAAGTGCACTATAAAATTACTGGAAAAAGATCCATACAAAGTCCATCATCATAAACAGGAAAAAGAAACATCTCAAAAGAAACGGCATGTTAGCATGCAAGTAGAGTCAAGTCTTAGGCCCTTCACAGTCCATGCTTGCTTTAATTTTTATTTTCCCAGAGAGCAATGATGTCCAGTATCTGTTTATGCCATCCTTGTATCTTTTGATAGTGTATATTTGAATAATTTCATCGTTTTTATTATTTGTTATGGTTGAGATTTGAGTGTTCTTTGTATATTCTGGACAAAAGTTCTTCATCAAATATGTGATTTGCAAATATTTTCTCCCAGTCTATCGGCTTGTCTTTAAATTCTCTGTCTTTCAGAGAGCAAGTTTTTAATTTGGGGAAGTCTAACTCATCAATTCTATCTTTTATTAAAGCCATACACATGTATTGCTGTAATCAAATATAATTTTAAAATCTAAAATAAGAGTTTTTACTTTAGAGACAGAAGTTTCTATCGGATAGTAGCACTTAATTTATCAAAGTTCAGAACAAATTCTCATATCTTAAATTTATTATAGCAAGTCCTCAAATAATGTTCCCTTCATTGCTGTTTCTTTTTTTTAAAAATTGTTAAAATATTATAGATACCCCCTTTTCCTCCCACTGACCCCGTCCACTCCATTCCCCCTCCATCATTGTTTCAATTAACTCTTATTTATGTCAGTTAGCCTTTGATAAAATTGGTTTCATACTTTGATTTCCTTAAAGTGGCAGAACCTGTCAACAATGTTAAGTGAGGACTTACTACTGTATATTCTATTTTCTATTTTTTGTCGTCAAATATTTTTTTTGCCTTTCATTTAATCCTCAGATATTAAAGATATTATAAGTACTGAGCTGAAAAGTGTGTTTTATTATTGTGGTAGGTTTGTGTTTGTTTTTACTGACTTGCATTTGGAAGCACAATCTCTTTTTGCATTCAATATTTATACAGGTCCTTAAACAATGTGCCAGATTTAGGTAGAGTGTGATAGTCCTATTAAAACCCTATGCCATGTTAAAGTGCTGTTAAAAATAATAGTCTGAATTGTATTATGTCCTTAATTTGGACTTATAGAACCAATCAGGGAGGAAGAAAACTGTAAGTTTTGTATATATATTTTTTGTTACCATGCACTCTTAGTGTTGATAAGGATATCTGAGATCATCTAGTTCAACTCCCACATTTTTTTCTCCGACCTGTAAAGAAGTTGAAGCCAAAAGGTTTAAGTGACTTGGCGAAGTTCAGGCAGCTATCTTTAGTATGTTAAGGATCCTGTTTTCTAGGTAAGAAAATCTGTGAAATGGATTGGAATGTTCTACAACTGATATACCGTAACTTTACCTCTGGGCAGCCTGATAAATTAACATTTGGGCCAAGCTGTAACAGGTTGTAGAGTTATAAGAAATGCTAAATTAAAGTTACTTGCTTATGATGGCTGTATTTTGAGAAATAATAATACATTTGAGTAATAATACTCAAGGATTATTTTGAGGATTTTATTTTGATAAAGTAATTACTTAAAATACTTTGGACAATAAACATTGCAGAAACTCAGTCCACAGGGAATGGTCACTTTTACTTTATCATAAATAATCTTTTAGAATGCTTTTCTTGGTAAAATATTTAGACAGTACATTATAAATAGGTTGTCATTTGAATCTCTATATTACCTTCAAGTACTGTTTTAAAATAGAAACCTGAAAGAAGTATTAGAAGTAACCATTGGAATATTTGGATTCATCCTTTTTTCCTTTTACAGGCCTGGTGATGTTCTTGAGACATTCAATTTCTTAGAAAATGCTGATGACAGTGATGAAGAAGAGGAAAATGACATGATTGAAGGCATCCCAGAAGGAAAAGACAAACATCGGATGAATAAACACAAAGTAGGGACTTGATTTTCTATTCTTATTAGCTAAAATATATATATACTCATGAATTTCAAATAGAAATTTTTGAGATGTCTTAAGTTAAATTGGGAGTGATCATTAAATATTTTATCACATCACTTGAAAGTTTTATATATAAGCCCTGGCTAGGTAGCTCAGTTGGTTAGAGCGTCATCCGGATATGCCAAGGTTGCAGGTTTCACACATAGATACCGTCTGGACACATACAAAATCCAAGTTTCTCTTCCCCTTCCTCTCTCTAAACACCAATTTTAAAAAAAGTATGTGAGATCAAAAAACAGTTTTATATCAGTTCTTCCTGACTTACCCACATATAGTAGCAATTATTTGCTGGATCATTCACTAAATTGCCAGAAAGGGTTTGTATTTATAGGACTAATCCAGTGGTTTGTATTTATAGGACTAATCCAGTGGTTTGAAACATTTTTTAAAAAAGCAACACCCTTTCCACTTCTGCCACAATTAAGAGTCATTACTGTAGTCTTTCTCTTGATGTATAGTAAACAGGTGATAAGTTTACTGAAGCTTCTATAGGGATACTCCCATCCTGGGTGAGGGAGTAAACTATGTATCATAAATGTATGTATTGACATTCTTGTTCTTTGGCAAGGATTAATAATTTACTTTTGCTTATAACCTGAGAAACAGGTTTATCTATTTTAGTGGTGATGTGGGTTAGCTATAGAAGCAAAAATCGTTTGGGTGATGCATTTGTGAATTACCCTTTTTTGTTTTGTTTTGTTTGTTTGTTTTTGTTCTGGAATGTAAAACACTGTTATGATTACCACAGCTATTGTGACTTCATTAGTTAATATTCTTATTAGCTGTGCCATACCTGTAAGTTATAGACTACATATGTAGTTCAAGGTAAGTGAGGTCAAGTCAGCATAAATTTCAGTGTAATTGAGTGACTAGGTTTTTAAAAGGGGGACTGAATATATTATAATTAAAGAGGTTAACTATACTCGGTCATTAACAGTCTTATCATTCTTACTACCACATTACTTGGCATCACATTTTACACTGGTCTTCACACAGCACTGTTGAAAACCATTTATCTAGAGTGTACTTTGGGATTGGTGAACTACATGGAAAATCTAAAATTTTGTACCTAAGTACTTTAAAAATGGGAGTGCAAATGTAAAGATAATTGTGTGAAAACATAAAGGACCCCTTTAAAATTTAGGATAAAAGTAATTCTTGGCTTATGTTTTATTTACAGATAGGTAATGAAGGTTTAGCTGCTGACCTAACTGATGATCCTGATACTGAGGAAGCACTGAAAGAATTTGATTTTTTAGTGACTGCTGAAGATGGTGAAGGAGCTGGAGAAGCACGGAGTTCGGGGGATGGCACAGAATGGGGTAAGGTGATAAAGAATTATGAGGGTGGGAGAAATTCTAACCCTTAAAGATATATTATTATTAAGTATTATATGTGGAATGTGTGTATCTGAATGTACGGTGGCAGTTACACTGAAAGCAAGAGGAAGTGGTATTGAATAATTTGCACTAGTTTATTTAGTTTGGGTGACTGAACTGTTTCATATATGGCTTTTGGTGGATTTTGATTTGGAAATTTGTTTTGATTTAAATTTGAAACATTTAGTCAATTTAGAAATACATTTTGTTTTCTCTAAGCAGATTTTAAAAAGTAAGCGTTTATATACAGTTTTTAAAATTCCCATTAATTAATTTGGTAATGTATAGGTTTCAGGAAGACTTAACTCTTTCAGTATGCCTATATGGTGTTATCTGACTTACTGCTAGGAAGTAATACAGCTACTAATCTTGAATTATATCTCTATATTGAACAAGTTAAGTATTAAACTTTATTACATATAATATTCAGTGTGAAAATACCAGGGCCTAGCCTTTGCAAGTGATACATAATGCTCATAATAACTTAGTTATAACTAAAAGGGAGAAAACCCAGTTTTGTTTATGTAGGTTTAAAAACCCCATTAGGAAGTAAAATAAAAGTAAAAAATATTTTACGATGATAGCTGAGGTCCAGTATGTTGTTCCTATTAAATATGTTCATTTAATCATCTTTCAGTGTTAGCATATTATCTCATAGGTAGAATTCAAATTGTGTTTACAGGGCTTTATTAGGGAAGGCTACTAAGTACCTTAACATACTTCACCTGAAAATCAAAATTTGCTTAGTTACTAGAAAGGAATTATCACTGGATTTTTAAACACTTGTGTGGTGATAGGAAACACACTTGGAGTTTCAAAATGCATTATTTATGTGTTGAAACTGAATATTGCTAACAGCAGGAGAGACAAAACTGAAGTAATAGATTTATTGAGTATCTTAATACAAATCTAGTACTTAAAAGATCTGAATTTTGTTACCAGCTTTCCCATTATTTGTAATCCTCGAGTATTGTTTTCAGACCTTCGCTTCTTTCTTAAGTGGAAAGAGAAGAGACACATTCATTGAAAATATGAAAAAACTCCACAAATAATTTCTAGACTGGAATATACATTTTTGTACTTATTTTAAAATGACTATATCCTAGAAATTTATTACTATTTTAAAATGTTTTTATTGATTTTAGAGAGAGAGGAAGGAAGAGGGAGAGAGAGAAAAATCTGTTGGCCACCTCCTGCATACCCCCTACTGGGGATTGAGTCCAGAGCCCTGGCATGTGCCCTCACTGGGAATCAAACCAGCGACCTTTTGGTGCATGGGACAACACTCAATCAACTGAGCCACACTGGGCAGGGCTAGAAGTTTACTCTTAAGAATGAGCTGTGCTCGGGAGAAACAGTAAAAGTATCTAGTGTTTTCTTTTAGCTTCTTTGTGCAACCCATTCAGTGTTAGAAATACCTTTTTTTCCAATAATTTCTAACTATTAATGTTTTTCTGGTTTATTTTATAATTATGCAAGTATATTTAACTTCTATAAACATATAATTATTTTTAAATTTATGTATGTTTTAGAAGGTTAGAAGCCACAACTACATGTGAAGAAGAAAATTAAAAATTACCTATAATGCTACTATGTAGAGAGAACCATGGTTAACATTTATGTATAAATATATGTGTATTTAACAAAGGATTTTGCTGTGTGCCAATTTATAGCCCACATTTTTCACTTAACGCATCGTTCTTCTGCAGCACCATTTTTGTAATAGCTGCCTAGTATTCTGACATATTCCTTTATTTATTTAACGAGGGCTCTGCTGATGTACACGTAGATTATTTTCATTTAAAAAAATAATCAAAGCAGTTTTTGAACATATGTATAGCTAAATCTTGACACATATCCATTCCTGTTTCTTTTGCCTAAAACTTCTGGAAGTTTAAATGTCAGTCAAAAGAATATACAAAATTTTCAGGAGTTTTAATTTGTATAAAATAGCATTATTTCTTTAATAAAAATACCGTATCATATGCAATTGATTGGTGGTTCTGTCCAGAGAATTTTGACTATAGAGCAAAGAGTCAAGAGAGGACCTAATTAGTGGATGACAACTGTCAATATATTTACTTTTACTAGTAATATTTGAGAGTGACCTGAATCTGTGTAAATGGAAATAACTGACATAGTCTCTTCCTTCTAGAAGATACTGAAACATCTTTAAAGCATTTTTAAGTTCTTGATAAGGAAAAAGACTTTTTTAGGACAAAATCATTCAAGTCGTTTCCTTAAGAACTGAAAACTGTCATAGGATCTATGCATTGTTTCTGAGTTTATCATTTCTACTCAATAAGTGTTGTATTCAGTTTTTCCAAAACAAGGAGTATAGATGTACAAACTCTCCCTGATATTTAATTCATTTACTTAAAATTTAAATTTACTTATAAATGGAAGTTGGTCATTTTCAAGATTAAGGTTTTGGGTAAAGGGCACAGATAATTTCATTAAAAATACTCTGTCCAAATAAAATATATCCCATACTTACCTACTGCGGGTAATCTATGTTATTTATTTTTAATCCTTCCGCAAGGATATTTTTCCCATTGCTTTTCAGAGAGAGAGGAAAGGAGAGAGAGAGAAACATAGATGTGAGAGAGACACATTGATTGGTTGCCTCCTACATGTGCCCTGACTGAGGCCAGGGATTGAGCCTCAACCAAAGTACCAAAGTATGTGCGTTTGACCAGAATCAAACTCGAGACCGTTCAGTCTGTGGGCTGATGCTCCAACCACTGAGCCAAACTGGCTAGGGCTCTATGTTATTTTTTATTTTGATACTATCAATCTGCTCAGATAGCTCTAGTTTTGAACCCTTTTATCCTATGAACCATTGCTTTTTGGAAAGCTTTTAAATAATGCTTGTTTTGTCATCTATGTTAAGTAGTCTGAGTTTAATTTTAGTGGTTTTTAGCTCTTCTTATAATCAAAAATATTAGAGAGCACTTCTAATTTTGCTCTGTCTCTCATGAAGACTAGACATTTTAAGGACGTTTAGTTTTCTTCTACACTTTTAAACTATGGTCTCTCAAAAGATACAGGACTATAAATGCAACTAATACTTAACGTTGCATTTAGTTATTTTTTTTAATTGAATTTATTGCAGTGGCATTGGTTAATAAAATTATATAGGTTTCAGCTATACAGTTCTACAATGCGTCATCTATATATTGTATTATGTGTTCACCACCCCAAGTTAAGTCCTTTTATCACTACTTAAACACCCTTAACCCTCTTACCTCCCTCCACCCCACTCCCCTTTCCCTCTGGTAATCACTGTATTGTTGTCTGTGTCTGCAATTTTTTTTTCTTAATCTCTTCACCTTTTCACCCAGCTTCTCAACCCGACTCCTATCTGACAGCTGCCACTCTATTCTCCGTATCTCTGAGTCTTTTTCTATTTTGTTAGTTTATTTTGTTCATTAGATTTGACATATAAGTGAAATCATATGGTACTTGCCTTTCTCTGACACTTATTTTAATTAGCATAGTACTCTCCAGATCCATCCATGCTGTCACAAAAGGTAAGATTTCCTCTTTTTTTATGGCCGAGTAGTATTCCGTTGTGTAAATGTACCACAGCTTTTTATACACTCATCAACTGATGGGCACTTGGGCTGCTTCCAAATCTTGGCTATTGTAAATAGTTGTGCAATGAACATAGGGGCGAATATATTCTTTTGAATTAGTGTTTTGGGTTTTTTCAGATGTATTCCCAAAAGTGAAATTACTGGGTCATTAGGGCAATTCCATTTTAAACTTTTTGAGTTAACTACTTTCCACAGTGGCTGTACCAATCTGCATTCCCACCAACAGTGCACAAGGGTTCTCTTTTCTCCACATCTTCACCAACACTTGTTTGTTGATTTATTGATGATAGCCATTCTGACAGGTGTGAGGTGATACCTCATTGTGGTTTTAATTTGCATTTCTCTGATGACTAATAATGTTGAGCATCTTTTCATATGTCTTTTGGCCATTTATATACCCTGTTTGGAGAAGTGTCTATTCAGGTCCTTTGCCCATTTTTTAATTGGATTGCTTGTTGTTTTGGTGTAGAGTTATATAAGTTCTTTATAAATTTTGGATATTAACCTCTTATCAGATGTATCATTGGTGAATATGTTCTCCCATTCAGTGGGTTGTCTTTTCATTTTGTTGATGGTTTCCTTTGCTGTGTTTAATGTAGGCCCATTTATTTATTTTTTCTTATTTCCCTTGCCTGGGGAGATATATCAGAAAAAAAATATTGCTATGAGAAATATCCGATTTTGCTGCCTATGTTTTTTTTCTAGGATTTTTATGGTTTTGAGTCTAACATTTAAGTCTTTAATCCATTTTGATTTTTGGGGGGTATAGTGTAAGAAGGTAGTCTAGTTGCAGTTTTTGGGGGTTTTTTTTGCATGGATGCATGCATCTGTCCAATTTTTCCAACACCACTTATTGAATAGATTATCTTTAGCCCATTGTATTTTTTTGCCTCCTTTGTCAAATAGTAATTGGCAATAAAGGTGTGGGTTTATTTCTGGGATCTCTATTGTGTTTCATTGATCTATATGTCTGTTTTTATGCCAGTACCATGCCATTGTGATTGCTATGACCTTGTAATACAGTTTGATATCAGGTAACATGATTCTTCCAACTTTGTTCTTTCTCAAGATTGCTATGGCTATTCGGGGTCTTTTGTGCTTGCATATAAATTATTGGAATATTTGTTCCAGTGTTGTGAAATACTCCATTGGTATCTTGATAGGAATTGTGTTGATTGTGTAGATTGTTTTGGGTAGTATGAACATTTTAATGATGTTAATTCATGAACATGGTATGTGCTTCCACTTATTTGTATGTTTTTAGTTTCTTTAGTGTCTTACAGTTTCTTGAGTACAGGTCTTTTACTTCCTTGCTTAAATTTATTCCTAGTTATAATCATTGCC